TTGGCACAATTAACTAACTCAGTCCTAATCCTGAACTTGTGGATGTGACTGTTTGGAAATAGGACTTAGTTGTTGTTAGCAGATAAATTAATGAGGCCATACCAGAAAAAGGTGTTTCCTAATCCCTTCTGAATAGTACTTAATAAAAGGCGAGAAGGGCCACTGAAATGGAATCACATGCAGGGGAATACAGTACATAAAAATTCATCTACAAGCCAAGAAGCACCAAGAAACGCTTAAGTCCAACCACATCTGAAAGACCTGGGGAAAACCTTCTCCTACAGCCATAGAAGAAAACATAACCCCGAGGATGCCCTAACTTTGGACGTCAGTCTCCATTGTGGGAAGCCGAAAGATTTCTCCCCCAAATATTTTAGACTTAGGACACTGCTTGCAGCTAATGGTAAAAGTTACTTCCCTTGAGGCAATCAGCTGCCAGACTGCCTTTCCTCCCACCAAGGGTGTGCCTGCTCCCTGCCGCTGGGAACAATGGGCTACTTCTCCCTGAGGCTTGCGACCATTAGCTTGGTTCCTGTAGGTGGGATTTACAGCCTACTGATAATGGTTCCTATGGACATCCAGAGAATAGGTCAAAGTTAAGCTGCCATTCTAAATCTAGGATCCGCCCATCTTGTCACAAGTATACCCCCAATACCCCCTGTTCCTATTGCGTGTATATCCCTAGATTGTCCCCCTCTCATTGTTGTATAACCTATAGTGCAACTGCTTCCTGTGACATATGTCTTTACCTGTAATCAGTGGGCTTGCACGCCCCAAAGGTATAGAGGCCTGGGTTAGCAAGAGAGATCTCTCTTTCATTCTTCCACCTTGACCTCTGGTCGGCTGCCCCTCTCCTCTCCAGTCCTCACTCCCATGTTCCCTTTTCCTCCTTCCATTCCTCTCTCTCCACGTGGACCACCAAGCAGGGCTGAAGTGAGCATTGCTACAATGAAATGTATCTGACTTCATGATATATATATATGAAGGAGCCACTGGCAGTTTTGAAATGCTGATGTTGCTTTAGCAGCCCTTGAGCGACCCATTCATCTAATTTTCTAGGCTGTAATATTAATGGAATGAGATCTCTAGGTCTTTCTCCCATGTACTTTCTGGGTGATCTTCAATTGCCAAACTTTTGCTTAGCAACTGGCTTTCTGTAGTGCATTTCCCCTTTCCAGGCATGTACAGCCCTGTATCCCAGAAGTTACACTGTGACCTTGTTCCCCGGCTCTGAAACCCTGGAGTCTATTCTTCTATTGTAGAGGAGTGTGACCATCTTGCCTTTCTTCACCCATCCCTTTTTGCTCTCTAAAATCTCTTCCATTAGTGAGGGTATGTGTCTTCTCTGTCCTTCACCCCCCCTTTGTGCTGGGAAGGCATGGGGAAGTGTGCCATCACATCCTCTTTTGTTTTAGGATACTTTCCATTAGTACTTTGTCCCTTTTCGCCTGGTTACATTTAGCTAACACCTCTAATCCTACCCCAGGAGCAAACTGGAGCTTCTATTCCAGAGTTTATTCAATGAATGAAACCATTCAGATTTGGAGAGCATCACTGAAGAACTGCAATGAAAAAAATTCACCAAACATAAATACAGAGGATTCAGGAACTCACAAGAGGAAAATTCTGATTGGTTCACATTTACAATACCATGCTTTAATAAACACAAGACGATGACGAGACCAGTTAAACATTATTTTGCTAACTTTCAGTCATGTAAAAGTTATTTTCTGGACACTTCTAGGGCCAACCTGAGTGAATGCTCTTCCTCAGAGCATGCTTGGAGAGGAAACGGGAGACAGAAGAAGGATGCCTACAGGTTTCCTGAGGTATGCTGGCTAGTGGATTTGTGAAAACTCTTGGACATCCACTAAAATCTTACCTCATACAAGAACACTTTTGTTCTAATAAATTGGCACTGTATGAAACTCACCTTCCTGATACAATCGCCAAAGACAAAATGGGTGCATACGCAAATGTGGTGAGGAAAGCTGATGGTGCCTGGCTACTAAAAGATATAGCATATGGGGTCTTAAAGACTCGAAATTAAACAAGCAGCCCTCTAAGAGGGAAACAACAAAGCCTGCATGGAAGAACCACACTAACCTGTGTAATCGTTAGGTGTCAAGGGGAGTAGGTATCAGAAGTTCAAAAACAAGCAATAAAATTGACATGAAGGAGCATGAACACAGTGGAGAGCCCAAACCCACCTGTAAGATAATTGGACAGTCCCTTGCAGAAGGGCCAAACTGAGGGGATGCTACACCTAGGGTACTGTATAGCACTGATGAAATATATAACTATCCTCTAGTTCTTTAATATTTTCTCCCCTTACCAATATGATCTTTGTTTAACCTCATTAATCTTGTTAGACCTGCATAAGTCCACTTGTATAATTAAAATCATATGATACATGAAAGCCAAGATAGATCACCCTTCAGAAACAGTATTGGGAGTAATGATCTCCTGAGGGAAAAGGAAGAGGGAGGGAGGAGGGAGGAGGAATTGATAGCAATGATGACTGTATAACCCACTAGAGAGGAATGAACAGCACAATTGCA